GCAGCGTGGACCTTTTTTGTTTATTTGTTTATGTATTTGGTAGCTGTTCTCTCTTCCCCTTTCTTTTTCAAGCCACACGAGAAGCTCACAGAGTATTGTTTGGTTCCCCTCCCCTCCTAGAGACACAAACATTATTAACAAAGCAACTTCAAAGTCAACAATACTTCCATCACACTGGGAAACATGAACTTCATCGGAGAAGCTGCAAAATGTTGCTTTATTTCACGCCAATTAAGTGGGGCGGAGGAAGATTTTAGCTTAGGCAAATACGAGGATTGTTTTGTTTTATTTAGCAAAGAAATGTACATATCCCTGAATAGACGTTTAAAGGAGAGAAATCACGTTTTAGAGTTTTATTTCAAGTTGAAATTGTGCTACTAAAATGATAGTCGCTTTGCTTACACGGTGTAAACGCCGTTTGCAAGATTACTTTTATTCATTGCAATATTGCATCTGTTTAGCTCATCAAAATGCATTTTTCCTTCTTAGGGAATTCAGAATAACTACTTCACACCTTCAAATCGCCACAATTTTAAACCAGCCTCTTAGTGCATTTTAGGTTTTGTTTTTTTTAAATGATTGCCAAGCAAGAGAATTGCACTTTCAAGAGATTTATTTAAAACAAATAGAACTAGCTAGCAAAGAGATATTTAGATGAAAGACTGTAACCCTAAGTGTTGATAGAGCGAATCACCACTGTAGTTTGCACGTTAGTTGATAATCATTTGCCCTCCCCCCACGCCCCCCCAGTCGTTTTTGATCATTGGGATGTGGAACCGAAAAACATGAAACGTTATCACTGAAAAGACTCACAACAGTAGCGACTACTCTGTGACTCTTTAATCTAAAGAAAAGTGAGGAAGTGAAGGAAGTAAGGTCTGAAACCTACGATTCCTCTCTTTCGCCGTCTCTGCGGTATATATATAGATATAAAATATCAATCTGTATAACTTGAGTTCCTTCAGTTGTGTAGCTTGGCAAACATTTCAGAAACTGAGTCATGCGATACCGATTGATTTGATTGATACACCAGTGACATACAGTAATATCCGGCTATCAGTTATCACTCTCGGCGTGTTCCGGGTATTTTTAAAGCAAAATATCTATGTAATCACTGAAGAGAAAAATTAATATGCAACAATAATTTGTAGATTACATACTTTTTTCCTGTTTGGCATTGGATTTCTCTGTCTCTTATGAATGCCAAAGGATCTGTTCTTAGTCAAATTACTTTTTGTTTGTTTTATTTTTCTAGTTAACAAATAAACATTGCGTCAAGTGGACACAATAGGCTATTAAACAGAAAATGAATCCAGATCTTTAAAATATGTTGGTGTCACTTTCGAAGTTATGTTTAAAGCATCTGTTTATCTATTCTATCTATTCATCATGACTTTAAATAATAAAACCCTCAAAGAACAGAACGCAAAAAATATTTACTAGCGGGCTGGAAAAGAAACGGCAAACTCTGAGGGGAAAATGTTGCTATTGTAACTTACTGGAGTCAGTTGAACAATATGTGCTCTTAACCCTTGACTATATCAATTCCCAGTGCAGCTCTCTATCCTAATCGATACTCTGCCATATCTATAAAGCAGGAACAATTATTTTTATTCAAAAGATTAATTGGTTTTCTTGTTATATTTAGCTGCCTCCCCTGACTTCAGGTTCTGTACTTTTAAAAAAAATGTTATTTGTAAGAAGATTTCATATGGCGATTCCCCTCCTCCCCCCCCCCCCCCCCTAACGTTACATGGACGGATTTGTCTAGGGTGAAGTAATATCTCGTTTAATTTGCTGAGTCCTAAAGCAAGAAGCTTCCCCTCCCCCAAGTCCATCTCTCTCTCTCTCTCTCTCTCTCTCTGCAGCAGGGTTTCTCGGATGCCTGGGCTGGAGGAGGAAGCCACTGGCAAGGTTGGAGGGCCGGACAGAGACAATCTGTCCTTGGTGCTGAAAGCAAAGCCGGCGTGAGGCAGAAGCAGTGCCACCATAACATAAAGGTGAGTGGGGAAGAGAGAGGGTTTGTATTTCAGCGCTTTCCGCTTTTACACTAACATGCGTCGCCTTGATCTTTTATGTACAAACTGCTCCTCAAACACACACACACACACACACACACACACAGCGAGTAATGGCCTGGCACTTGCGAGGAGACTTTCTTTTACCATCGCTGTTGGTTTGGTGCGTCTTTTTCTCAGTTTTAGCAAAATAACAGCACATAATCCCCATTCCCTACATTTGAAACGCGAAACGCCATGGTTATAGCCCCATCATCACCATTTATTCAAATTACTCTACATCTCCATGGGCAATAATGTTGTCAATCCCTACCTCTGTCTGACACATGAAGAATAGGCATGACACAGACCTTTCCAAGTGCTAAATTAGTTCTCTGTAGTACAAGACAGCCTAGTTCTGGAGGGTATTTAAATATCACCTTCGGAATTATCTTTTCATCACATCACCTTTTAATTTGCCCTGCTAAACAACAAACGCTCTTGGTCCAGGGCAATCCGTGGCGGCCTCTCAAATGGGGAAGGGGCTGAACTACACCTATATCTTATCTTTTCGCCCTGCTAGTCCCTCGTGCATTTTAAAATTCGTATGCATGTCCCCATGGCAGATGTTATAGGCATGAAACTGAGTACACACGGTTGCGTTTAAACTCATTTCACCATGCCAGTCCATACTATATTATTAATTTTAAAGTACTTCTATTACTTCGTTGACTGTTCCTAATGCCTTCGTGACTTGTAATATCGATCTGTACTAGCCAATAAGCAAGTGGCATAATGGCGCCACATTTTAATCTTCTCGGACTTCTTTGGTCCAGGATAAATGCCACTGGAAACGCCGGTAGGTAAGTAGGCAGACCCTTCCTCCTCCGTGTGTGTGTGTGTGTTGATTGTGCTGGGCACTGCGGCTCTGGCGCTGAGCTCCTGGGACCCAGCCTGCCCTCGTCATCACTCCCAGAGCCCAGCTAAGAAGACAGGCTAATTGAATAGCCATCTCCAGGCCTCCCCAGCTTCCTTTCCACCATCCTTGCTTAGTAAATTCTACTGTGCAGTTAGCAAACTATTTTTCTGGCTATGGCTGGCCACACAGAAGCTCTGTGGTGCTGCCTGGGAAGGAACAGTCAGCACATCCTTGTCGACCAACGGTGTATATAAAGGTGTGTGTTTTACCGTCTGACCGGGTAGGCAAACACAGGAACACAATCGGCTCACGGGTAAACCCCTCCCGCCTCCAAAAAATCAGGTAATGAGTTCACTTTCCGTTTGATAAATACCAGATCAGACATATAAAGATAATCCAGCAACCACCCAGCCTGAAAGGAGGAGCTGGCAGGAGCTGTAAACCATTTAAAAAAATCAAAATAGTCTTCCCACTTCAACTTTAAAATATGAGATGTGGAAGCAATTTAAATTCAGTAGTAGACTTTTAATGAAAAAAAACAGCAACAATACTTTCCCAATAAAACGTTAAAATCTTTTTAATGAAAGACAATTCAACAACATTTTAAATAACTTAATACATTACTGTAATAAATAAACCTTCTATTAACAAAAACAACAAAATTGTATCATATACAGAACTTAAGACTTCAAATAGTCTCAAATAGAACAGCAATACAGCGAAATCTGTAAGAATATATCTATATGTGCGTCAATTCGAATGAAATATTTACAATACATATAGGTACCACAGTTCAAGTACCTTTCCTTTTTGCTCAAAAGAATTGTACCAAATAATGTGAATTTACAAGAGTGCTCTCTCTCTCTCGCTCTCTCTCTTTCTCTCTAAATTAAATTTGGCTTTTCTACAAACAAACCTCCAAAAAAGATTCCCCTCAATGTAAAAGTATTGCAATTAAAGGAAATAAAAAGCTATCAGGTCTGAACACAGTTGTGATATAGCTTAGAAATCTAGAAGGACAAATATTGTGATGAAAACAAACCCTGAAACAGCAAAACGCCACACTGTCACCTATTCAGCCACTTCTTTTCTCGCTTTAGAAGTGTGTGGTGGGGACAATATGGGAATCCCCATTAAATATGTAACGCAGTAAACAAATACCTCGGACAGTGAATCAATCTACACAGATAACGTAGGACATCTATTATAGAGTGCCAACGCCTTACAAATAAGAATACTGGCCAGAGAAATATTTTAGTTTCAGGTGACAATTTACAGATGGCCAAAAGGGATATTTTTATAAGAAGGAAAAAGCTTAAGATAATAAATTCTACCAACACAAAGTATTTGATTTTCACTATCCATACCTTTTTTTTAAACTTTTATCAAGACTTAGATTAAAGAGGTGTAATTAATTAGAATGAGCACAGAATGAAGTTGCTGGAGAGATAAAATTAATAATTTACAAGGGGTTGTTTGGCAGTAATCTAATAATAGTTTTTAAAGATCAGTGAACACAGCAGGATCAATTCTTTTCCTACGCATAATAACTTCAGCGAAGGAAAGGATAATAACCACAGTAAAAATATATATATATATATATTTATAATACGCAGTGTAAATGCAGAAAAACCTGCCATCTTTTTTTTTAAATCAAAATACTTTTGAGATGTCTCTCTCGCGGTATAAGCCTCAACTCTAGATTCAAGTTTCAGTTTCGAGTCAATTTATTTTCTGAAAAATAGTTGCAAAGTGTACTTTTAAATTTGAACACGGGTGATGTCTTTAATAATAAAAACAAATCTTACTTGATACGTCTTCGGTCCTTTAAAAAAGAATTTCTTATCTGCCTTCAAAAAGTTAGTCTCTGTTTTATACTATCATTCTGAACAAGCAGCGGTTCTCTCCAAGGGGAACTTTCCTAAACTTGACAATTTACTTCTTGGTTGACAGTCTCTGTGTATTTCTCTTTCTCTGTCGGTCTTTCTGTCTGTCTCTCTGTGTTTGTCTCTCTATCTCACTATAGAGAAATATTAAAGTATGTCTTGTTGCCGATTTTTTTTTAAAAAAAGCTCCCACAGACTTTAAATCCCAGCGGAATATTTCATTCGTTTCTGTTTCTGTCTCTGATTACAGAACCAGACCCGGACCACGTTCTTCTTGAGGTCTAGTTTCTCTGCGATGGCCGCTATTTTTTCCGAGGAAGGACGTGGCTGGATGGCAAAATAGGCTTCCAAGGACCTCTTCTCAGGTGCAGCGATAGAGGTGCGCTTTCTCTTCTTCTCTGCTCCGTTGAAGAGCTCTGGTTTGGTGAGCTTCTCCCGGTGAGATTTCTCTGCTTCTTCTAGCCAGGCTTGCAAGATGGGTTTGAGGGCGATCATGTTATTGTGGGACAAGGTAAGGGACTCAAACCTGCAGATGGTGCTTTGGCTCAGTGAGCCTACCCCTGGGATCTTCAAGTTGGCTAGGGCAGATCCCACATCTGCCTGGGTCACTCCGAGCTTGATCCTCCTCTGCTTGAACCTCTCCGCAAAAGCTTCTAAATCTCGGGGATCTGCGTCCACGTCGCTCATGCATCCCATGTGAGAAGGCAGTCCGTGGGCATGGGCCATGCTTAGAGCCGCCTGGTGCATAGGGTTCATACTGGCCATGTGAGGCGCATGAGCTGGCGTGGAGACCACCGAGCCGTCGGGTCCGGTCATGGCCCCCAGCGCCAGCCCTGGAGTGATGTGGTCTAAAAGCTCCCCTTCCAAAGCCTGGTGAGGCTGGTGGTGGTGGTGGTGATGGTGGTGGTGGTGGTGGTGAGTGCCGGACAGTGCTGACGGGTGGGAAATGGGCACCGACGAGGAGGAGGCAGCAGAGGTGCAAGGGATGGTGTTCATGGTGTGGTAAGTAGCGTCCGGCTTGAAGGGGCTGTGATGAGGCGGGTGATGATGGTGGCTCTTGGTCTGGGAAACTATATCCACCGCCGCCAGGGCTTCAGCGCGGGCCAGCAAACTCTCATCCAGACCGCCGAATATATTGCTCTGCAATTGCAAATAGAAGGCACACATTACTGTCAACAGGGGATCGCCCTCCCTCCGCATCCGCACGCCTCTGGGCCATTAACACATCCCCAGCATGGCAAAAGAGAGAACGAGAGAGAGAGACACACACACAACACGAGGCACATGCAACATCCCAGGTCATAAAAATTAATATGAAAGGCAAGCGCCGCTGAATGCAAAAGGCTGGAGAGAGCCGGGAGGTGCTGGGTGATTTGCTGGGCAGACATGAAAGAAACATCGTGCAGATCAAGGGGGCTGTGGGCATGTGCCTTAAAGCGGGGCTGCTGCAGGACGTGCCTACCGGGGGGGTTGGGAGGCAGGCTCGCCTCATCGCCTCCGAGCTGGTGCTGGTGCTGGTGCTGTTCCTGCCGGCCCCGCTGCTGGTGCTGCTGGGGGAGCTGGCCGAGGGGGCGGCGGAGGTGCAGGGGGAGGCGGTGTGCAGCGCCGAGTACTTGGGCTCGTGCAGGCTGCCGCTGCCGTGGGGCATGCTGAAGGGCTGCTTGCTGTTCAGAGACATCATCATCATCCTCGCCGGCGGTGGGGGGCCCGCCCAGCCCACAGCGGAGACGGGAAGTTGAGGCTGCCGCCGCAGCCGCCCTGAGATGGAAGGTGGCGCGGGGACGCGAGGGGCTTTTCTCGCTCTCCTCCCTCAGCCCCCGGTGCAGCCTCCGCCGCCTCCTCTCCGGCAGCAGCCGGTCCGCAGCCTGCCCCTCCAGCCGCCTGGCTGCTCTGCCCTGCCTCCGCCTAACTCCCCGCTCCGCTTCCCGCCCGGGCGCCGGGTCCCTCTCTGCCAGGCTCGCCCCCCGCCCAGCCCTCCGAGCGCCTCTCCCCGGCTCCCTGCTCCGCTCCCCGGGAGTCCCCCTCGCCTGCCCTCCCACCCACCCCGCGGGAAACTCCCTGCTGCAGCCCCCCGGCTCAGCCCCTTCTCCGGGCCGCCGAGCCACAAACCAGCCCCTCTCCTCCCTAGTCTGCGCCTGGCCCTCGCCCGGCTCCGAGCCCCCTTCCCCGCGCGGCTGGAGGAGGCGGGAGTCCGGCGCCCTATTGTTCTGGTGCTGCCTCTGCTCCGGCTGCCGCGCACCTTGGCCCGGCAGGTGCCTTGTGCAGAAGAGACATCACTGGAACTGGGCTGTGAGGCTTTCTCTCTCCCTCTGTTTCTCGCCGCTCTTCGCCCATTGGATGGAGGCGAGACCGGGGCGAGGTGGACGCATGCGTCCTGCGAGTATGTGTGGGGAAATATTTAAGTGGTGGTGGGGGGAGGTTGGAAATCCGGGGAGGGGAGGGTGAGCGAAAAGGTATGGGGCGGGGGTAAGGATGGAGAGAGAGCGCGCGTATGGGCGTGTATATGGCGTGTGCGTTTGTGGGATGTGTATATGGCGCGCGCGAGAGTATCTGGGTGTGAGGTGGGGGGGGCTGTATCTGAGCGTGTGTAGGTACAGAGTATGTGGGGGGGAGAGGTGCATGGAGTGTCTGCACAGACAGTGTGTGTTTGTATGTAGTGTCTGAATGGGATGTATGTACGGAGTGTCTATACGTGTACATGGGGCGTGTGGGTGAGCTGTGTGGAGGGTACCTCATGTGGGGGAAGAGCTGTGGAGGTGTGTGGGGGGTACCTTCTGTAGGGGGGAAGCTATGTGGAGATACCTGATATAGGGGGGCTGGGTGTGAGGTTACCTGCTATGGGGGGAGCTGTGTGTGGGAATACTTGTGGGTGCGGAGTACCTGATGTGGGGGGGCTGTGTGTGGGGGGATACTTGTGGATGAGAGGGCTTTGGGGGGTACCTGCTAGAGGTGGGGGACCTGTGGGGGGAATATCTGATGTAGGGGGACCTGTGTGGAGGGTACCTGATGTGGGGGAAGGTCTGTGGGGGGGGTACCTGATGGGAGGGGGGCTGTGTGTGAGGGTGCCTGCTATAGGTGGGGGAAGTGTGTGTGAGGATACCTGATGTGGGTGGGGATACTTGTTGTGGGTGGGGAAGGTGTATAGGGAGTGTTCCCCTCTCTGGTGTGGATCCATTTGAAAACCTTTCCGTTCCAATTATTCTTCTTCATTAGCCACAATAAAGGAGGGAGGGGTGCCCAGGGAGCCTGCACTGCGCAGATGCAGTAGGAGGACACCCCCACCCCCACCCAGACAGGCTGGCACAAGCTCCACTTATCTTCATTTCCACCGCCGCTTGTTCCTATTTTTATCCTGTCACGCAGGCACTTTGGCAGCACTTTGTGCCCAGCCGCTTCTCTCTGAAGCGGACGCACTTTTATTCCCTGCAAACAAGGTGCTGCCTCCTCCCCGCCCCGCTCCTCAGACCTTTGTCTGTAGCACTTCCACCGCCTCTTTAGCTTTAGCAGAGTGCGCTGGGCGCCTGAGAGGATGCAGGAGCCGGTGCTGGGAGGCGGGGGAGCTGGGGTTGGAGGGAGAGGTGCTGGAGCTGGTTCTGGAGAATCAGGGAGCTGGTGCATGTGGGTCAGGTGTTGGAGGAAGCCGGTGCAGGAGGGAGCTGGTGCCAGAGCATGGGGGAGCATTCAAGAGCTGGGGATGGTGGTGTTGGAGGTAGCAGGTGCTGGAGCTGGTATTGGTGGGAGCGGGTGCAGGAGCTGAAGCGGGTAGAGCATGTGGCGAGCTGGTGCAGAAGTTCCCACCCTGCTTTCCCATATGTTGTTGCAGCCCTTTATCATGAGGCTCCATAAGGGCCCCATGCTGCTCCCTCTGGAGACACCAGGACTTTTAGGACTGATATCACATTCGAACAGTATCTGGCCCTACATTTCCAAAACAAGCAGTGAGGAGCATCTCATCCCTCCGTCTGCACCTTCCCCCTGCTGCCCGACTCCTCCAGATACCACCAGGAGACATTGGGTACTTCCCATTGTATCAAATTGGGATTTGGGATTAAAAACCACCCACCTACTCATCTGTATTGCCAACTTCATGTTTACCTCCCTTTCAAAATAAATAAAAAGTCTCTTTTATTTAATGTGGACGGGTTTATTTCAATGAATTTTTGTTTGCACCAGGAGATTCAAATAAGTGCTTAGGTGTTTAATTTCTCACCTAAACAGTAGACTTGGTAATTTTAAAGGAAATCAAAAAAATTACACTGTATCAGCTCTCACTGTCGCCAGCTCAGAGAAATGAAATAAATCAAAGTTAAAAGCTTGAGTATCATTTAATTATGGTGCGAATAGCGCTTGGAAAGAAGTAGAACAACATCTCTAAACAAATTATAGCCGGGCCAGGAAGGAATTATTAGATTGAAATTTCATTTAGGCTCGGGAGACACAGCGCTTCAATATGTAATCTGTTATGCCTCATCTGATTTGTATGCTTAATTCAGCTTGACGAATTTATTAGTTTTCATAATAGTAAAAAAATTGAGCAGCACTATGGGCTAATGCATTGTGTGTACTATAAATTGTATGTCACCGTTGAAAGGCTGAAGTCTATAGAAATCTTTTATTAATGACAACATAGGAAGGAGAATTTTCTTGCAAGCCTTTAAGGAGTTCATGCCAAACCTCTGTGCTTAGTGTCTCAGCAGGCTATTAACATATCGTCATACTAATTAGGTTACTTCATGAGTGATATAATTTCAAACTTTAAATTATGTTCTAATTAACAAGCGTTGTCCAATTTGCTTAATCTTCAAAAGGCTTTCGGTTTGTCTAATTAGTCGAAACTATTGAGCATCTCAAATGCCTAATAAAATCCATAGATAATATTTTTGTACTTTCATTGTATAGTGTGTAAAGTTTACAAGAAAGAACTGAACGCCAGTGACGGGAAATAGTTGGCAAAAACGTCCATTCACCAGAGTCATTACATTTGATTTCGCCATCCTTGCGTTACAGCTTCAAACTCCCAAACAATAATCACATTTTACATCTTATTTTGGCTTTGCGCTGAGTTTTAAGGTGGAAACAAAATAAAAGGCAAATATCTTACTTCCCAAAATGCTGAGATTTAAAGTAACAATCAATCCAACATTACTAGAGCAAGGACTTTAATTCAACACTCTTAACTGAACTTTGATACTAACAATCTTTTAAAAACATAAATTTAACCTCCCTGTATTCAGTTTAATTACTTGAAATAGTTGTTTTAATGTAGGCTGTCACATGGGAGAATTGAGAATGCATATCGTTAATATGAATTAATTTTGATTTTAATAGCAACTGACAACTGATCTCCAAATGCTAAACACTTATCGCCACTTCATATGGTAAGTATGGTATTCTAATATATCCATGAAATAAAGAGAACACTGGTGAAACAACTAAGGAAACTTTGTTTGGTGCTATATTGATTGATCAAAATTATTTAAACCCATCAGTCCCCGAGGCGGGCCGAAAAGATATCACTACATTTGTGTTTTTAATTTGAGCCATCTTCAGCTTTCACTTATTTACAGGCAACGCTCTTCTCTATAACAATGTATTTATCAAGTTGTCATTAAAAGTGTTTATCTTTGTATAATAATTCCCACGTATGCTGCAGCCTTCACTACCTCATCGGAAAACAATTATGCTTTTATTAAATTAATTAATTAATTAAATTAAAAAATATATCAGGTTATACAATTCCAATTCTTCCTTTACCTCTCCAATGTGACAACCGAAAGGAGCGCACAGAACTGACACTTATGTAAACAAAATGCAATCCTTCCCTGCAGTTTGCAATCTCCTGCTAATTACAGAAGTGTCCAGATTACCAAGATATTCAGAAGGGGAAGGATATCAGTTAATATTCACTCTCTTTCTTCTGAACTGGTGTCACTGTCTTGAACAATAGCTCTGAAGCAAGGATACCAGTATCTCTAAAAAGGGGAAATAACAGAAAGTTTAGTGGGAACGGTGGAGGCGAATGTTAGAGTCCAACTGGGCGAACACCCCTAACCTATCTGCAATTACTGCAATATTAACTATTAGATTAATAATTAATAAAAAATGACGACAATGAGTGTACAACAAACTCATAAACTCAAAAAAGAAGTGGATGGCATAGGGCCATATCAAAGGCCTAGTCACCCTAGGTGATCCTGGACATGCCGGCCTCTTTGTCTGACTATAAATTCTGTAGCTGTCCTCAGCCAGATGCAGACATATAAAATGTACCCGTTCCAAGTAATGACAAAGCTGCTGGTGAAAGTGCAAGACTGCACTCGCAAGCCTTCAAATGCCATTAGTCTTTCAGCAGGCTTTGCACACAAATGGACTGCCTAAATAAAATTAGAGTCCCCTTTCATATCCTGACCCACGCAGACATCTGGGGAGAAATCACTGTCGCCTCTCATGGATCCATGTTCTGATTTATGATTAAAATTTAAAGCGATGCATTCATATTTTACTGAACCTAATGCGTTGTATGAATTTTTAATCCATTAAGATGCAGTATATACTTTAAGGAAACTCTACCCTTGTTTTAAGCACAGAACAGAGTTGGCTATAACTACTGTTTTTATTTATTGAAAATGCAGCTGTTCGCCCTGCTTTATAGTAATGTTCACACTTTTTTGTTTTTACCCTTCAATT